TCTAATTTCCAAGCTGACATGCGCGGACTTATAAAACTGTGGCTTACCTCTTTCAGAGTATTGGGGTTAATAGGAAATCCTTTTCCCCCCGTGAGGCTGGAGTACTTCTTTTCCAAATGACAAAGATTCTCCTTTTCCTAAAGATGTACAAAATCTATTACGCTTGAGACAAACATCAGAACCCCCGACATGCCCATTTCTAGTTCCTTTCCTCACATTCAGTTAAAGCTTGCTATTCCAGCTGTCTCATCTACTATCAGCTGATAGGATGCATGAGCAGCTTTCCAAACATAGTTAGTTAGATAACCCACCATTCAAGAGGAATTTTACAAAGTGACAGTAGTCTTAAGGAAAAGACAGGATGTTCTAACTGAAGCAGAAAATGGCAAGAGGAGCCAGGCTGGGTGGTACCAGTCTGTAAGTGCAGCACTTGGGATGTGAAGGCAGGAGGGTCAGGAGTTGTAGTAAGTTAGATGCCAGCATGGAATCCAGGAGACTAGGAGGGATGCTCATTAGCTCAGGGCCTTCTCAGCCTTCATCTTTTGGGTATTTTCTACACTCAAATTTTTATTCCCCTAAGTAGCATACATCCACGTGGTCTCTGGTGATATAATCTCATAATCCATCAGTACATTTCTTCTGGAAACTTCCCAGCATTCATTTTCTTTTATGTTTAGGCCCACAACCCATCTTGGATTAACCTCCAGGAAAATATTTATGGGGTATATTATTTACCATGGTATAATTTACGTAACAGTCAATTTCAAAGACCTTAGGTATATAACCGATGATTGTTTACAAATAGAACAGCACTGCAACCAAGATAAAAAAACATTTCTCTCACCCTAGAAACGTGCATGGCCCCTTCCATTTTAAGCCCAAGCCCAAAAGTCAAGCCCTACTCTGATTTGCTTGGCCTTGCACGGCTTTCCTTCTTCTCCAACATGATCTAAATGGAGTCATTCAATATGCACGCTCCTGTATTGGCTTTACCCCACAATGCCAGAGCATAGATAGTTAACCCCTACTGCATGCTGAGGAGTACTTTACTATACGCATGGTATTTTGTTAATTCACATTTCTCTTGATGGTTATTTAGCTTGTGTCTAAAGAGGATGTGTGTGTGTGTGTGGGGAGGGTTATTGTGCAAAAGCTACTTCCAGCAGTTTTGCACATCTGTTATAAAGACATGTTTTCATTTGTCCTGTGTAAGTATCTACTAGTATTGCTGGGTCCAGGGTGGACACACATTTAATGCTACAAAATAAACTTTGGGGGAGTCCTCCAAAGGTGCTGTGCACTTCACACTCACACCACCAAGGTGTGACTACTTTAGCTGGTCCATATTCTCCCTGGCACTTAAATTGTTCCCTGTTTATAATGATGACGAGTCATTTTAGGTGATGAGAAGTTGAGTCACACTGTTTTCATACTAACCTCAATCTTTTCCTTCCTGTCTCCTTTCGACTTTATTTCATTTATTTTATTGTTGTTCTGCATATGTATGTGGTGGCATGAGCACACACGCACATGCCATGGTGGATGGATAGAGGTCAAAAGGCAGCTGCTTGGGGACCATTCTCTTCTTCCTACCTCTGCGTGACCTCCAGGGATGGAACACAGGTCACCAGGCTGGCTTGGTTAGTGCCTGTACCACCTCAGCCATCTCACTGTCCTCTTTTTAAGTTATTTTTGAGGCAAGATATGGCAGTGTAGGTAGAACTCAGAATGCAGCCCAGGCTGACCTTGAATTTACATTTCTCCTGCTTTAAGGCTTCCAAATGCTAACATTACAAGTGTACACTACCATGTCTTGTTCGCCAGGAACATTTTCATCAATTTCTCAAATCACAGCTTGGTTTTGTATGTGTTACTCTTCGAAACACCTTAAGTGGCACATTCTTGTTTCATTCACATTTGCCTGACAACCAGCAACATTATGACCAGTGTCTAAAAGCAAAGCATACAGGACACACAGATAAACCACAGCCTTCTGCACTTGGGGGTGCATGGCAACACTTTAGCACCATTCGGCAGCTCTTTTAACAGTGCAGTCACCCACAAAATACACACACACACACACACACACACACATATACATACACACACATATACATACACACACATACATACATACATACACACACATACATACACATACACACATATACACACACACACACACACACACACACACACACACACACACACACACACTAAACAACACTTGCTGAGCATGAGAGCTGAATTGAGGCAGCAGGATGTCTTTCAAGTTCAGCAGGACTGTGCATATTGGGCTTCTTCCATGTGTTTACTGTTCTGAGTATGTCTGTGGATGACTGTGAAAGTGCTTCATGTGCATTTTAGCAAGAAGGCCAAACCACAAATGTGGAATTCATACTAAGGAAAATCAGCTTTAAATTTTACCAAACTTGTCTCCCATTTCTATAAAATTTTTTTTTTAAAAAATGTCTGTTAGAATGTTGATTGAGATTGAAAGGTACCTATAGGTCAGTTATTGGAGAAACAAAACTCTTATCGTATATGAATCACAATTTTCATAATCAAATTGAGTTTTATCTATTTTTAATGAGGAAGTAAGTTATCTGTGACTTCGTTTGCTTATTTGTAAGAAACAAAAAAACCCCTATCATTTAGAGATTTTTGTTTTCCCCTTAAAATTTCAACAACTACTTAAGCATACATGATAGTGTGTAATTTAAGGTGTGACTTTGAATATTTCATACAAAGGGAAAAATGGTTACAGGGAAAAAATGGCAACAGAGTCTGTCCCACAGAGTAGGGCATGGGAGGAGACTACAGCTCCATTCATGGGTTTCTGGGAGCTGAAAAGAGCAGGAAGAAGCTTCCAGGATGTATGTGGGATGTAGAGGCCCCCTCAAGGGGACTAATAACTCTACGAAAGGGTCCATCTCTTCTTTCATAAGCTAAAGTAGCTGAGAAGGAAATGCACATTTCTCAGTGGGTATCATGGTCCACGTCATTCTGGACTCCATCCACCTCCTGCTCCCTGCTGCGGGTCCATCACATATTTCCACTACCCCAATACCATGTCCCCAGGTTGTGGCTCTGACCTGAGACCCCATTAGCTTTGGTGTTTGATGTTTTACTCCTGAAATTATACCATGGGCCATGTCCAAGTTGTAGCTACAGCTTTTCTTATTTTTATTTATTTACTTATTTAGTCCATTGTCTTCATCCTAGGAATCCTTTTTTATGAGTTACTTTATTGGGACAGATAAGGACATGGGCCCAGTGGAGGCTGCTGGTGCTCTTCTATCCAAGCCACATGGAGTATTTCCAGATTCAGCTAAGTCAAACTAACTTCAATGTGGCATTTACGAGGAAGACCCCACACACAAATAATTGCAGTTGGAAACACTAGAATACTTGAGCCAAAGTATTCAACCAAAGCATAAAGAACATTTTCCCTTAATCCTACCACAAATTATTGTTAGAATATCTTTAACTACTTGATGAAAAGTGTGACTCTTTTTAAGGAAAAAAGAAAAAGTACAGATTTGCCATAGTTCTTTCAGTGATTTTTTAAAAAAAAAAAAAAAACATGAAGAAAACCTCCTTGCTTACTGCCGGAGTTGTAGGTCATCATCAGAGAGTATTGTTGCTAGTGTGGAAGATGACATAGAAAGTGAATACAAATGGCTGTCTCAGAGTATAAAGGCACCACACCGGAAGAGGCAGCCCTCCCCCAGCCGGAAGCTGTGCTTTCTCTGTCACCGCTGCTGAGCAGGAAGTACTCACTCTTTGGAGCATCATTATTAGATTGTTCTTTTCTTTCACGAAGTGGTCTTGTTCCCTCTGAGCCTGCTGAACAATGTGACTGGCTTGCTTTTTCAATGCAGAAATTTTTTCCTGGGAGACAAAAGTAATTGTAGAAAGATGCACATGAGAGAATCCAAGGTTTGCCAGTTTGTCCCGGGCAGAGAAGAAAAGGGTCTTCAGAACCTGAATGACACTGCCCACATTTGAGTTGACAGTGGACCACCAGGATCACCTAAGGCTAAGAAGCAAGTTACTTTGACCGACCAAGCTCAATACTTCTTGACTTATAGCCAAGGCAGATCACATGATTGGAAAAGTTATTCTGAAAAATCTAGAATTCACTAGGAAATCTTGTTTTAGACCATCAGTTGATTTTTTTTTTTAACATGCTGATGAAAAAACAAAAGAATTTCTCCATTAAACCAGAAGGCACTTTCTCTGTCCTTCATTCTCTCCATCAACTTTATCCTTCAATTTTACCAAATTAGTACAATGTTCTAAAGTATGATTATAAATTCTAGAATAAACACTAAATTCTGAGCTGGGCATACAGATGCTAGGGGCTGGGTGGAGTCCTTAATAATCAGAATGATTTTCTACGGGTCTGTTGCTAATGGTAACAAGCTCCCAGTTAGCACTAGAGATTATTAATCAACGGAAAGAGAAAATTCCAAAATAGATTTTGTTCATAGAATTAGTCTAACGCTAGTTATTTCAGCTGCCAGAGGGAGGGATTTGAAACAAACAGCTGATTGTCTATGACTTGGTTTTTATGTGAGTTTAAAAAAAAAAAGGAGGGAGTGTATTATCCATAAATACCCCTATAACATTGTACAGTGACTGTAACCCATCTCAGTTTATATAGCACAGAGCATCATTTGTCATATATGGTACAGACCAAATGTGATTAACACAAAAAGATATTCATATATAGAGACAAGAGTCCACAACTATACGAATGACCATGATTCCTATAATACAGTTAATAGTCAATTTTCATTCTTCATATCAAGCATCACCTCGCAAATTACCTTCCTTGCGACAATGTTCCTTTGATACTCCGCCACCTCCCTCAGGAGCTGCTGAGTCAAGTTCTCCTTTTCCTCATCCAGACGGCTCTCATGCTCAAGCTGCTGAAATTCCAAGTCTTCAAAGTGTTTGCTCTCAACATCCAACAGGTCAGCATCCTTCGGAGAAAATGGAATGAAAATGAAGCACACCAACGTGGCTGCAGCCTTCCCAATATGAAGAAATAACAATCAGAAATGCTCACTCTAATGCAGATGTCTGGTTACGACACTGTGTGGGGCTAGAACAAGGTGATGGAGGTAAGCCCAGCCATGGCTGTTAGAGGGAATGGTGGGCGTATGGTGCGGAGGGCAGTTTTTTGTTTAGTATTTATTTATTTATTTATTTATTGTGTATACAGTGTTCTGCCTACACGTATACCTGCACGCCAGAAGAGGGTGCCAGATCTCATTATAGATGGTTGTGAGCTACCATGTGGTTGCTGGGAATTAAACTCAGGGCCTCTGGAAGAGCAGCCAGTGCTCTTAACCTCTGAGCCATCTCTCCAGCCCCGCAGAGGGTAATTTTTACTTCACCAACTGTTTTCGGACTTTCTGTGTATGCAAAGTTTTTCTTTAAAGCCAGTAGATGGCTTCAAGTGGACAGTGAAGTGTAAAAAGATTTCCACAAAGTCTCTTAAGAAAGTTATTGTTTTCTATAGTTTACATAAGAATTATAAAATAAATTAATAACAGATTCAAATAGTTCACAAGTTAGTCCAAAAGTAGATCAGAGGATACACATACTCCAAATGTGGTAATATAATAATCCACTGGGGTAGAAGGAGAAAACAGTAAGCCTTTTTTATGTCTAGTATTTATTTTTCTTTTCAATTTTGTTTCTCTTATCTCTTCTCTTTTTTTTCTTTCCTTGTTTTGCCCACCCCCCTCTCTCCCTGCATAGGATCTCTCTGTATGGGTCTAGCTCACCTGTAGCTCACCCTCCTATCTCAACTTTCTGAGTGCTAGGATTACAGGTATGTGCTATCATACCCAGCTGAGTTTCTTAACAATTGTTTTCTAATGTACACACAAATAAAAAAGTATATACACATAAGTTAAAATATATAAATGTTGAGCAGCCATGCAATAAATGTTTATTATATATCATTATATTATTGACTGTAAATTATAGAGGAGGGTTATATCCTAAAGAAATTTGATTGAAGGGAGCAGTCAGCAGCACCTGAACAGGAAGTCTGTTGAGAATGCAGTAGTTTGGCAAGGAACATTAATAATGAAGCCTATGCCTGTATGAGGCAGGTAACATGTGGGAAGGCTCTGATTGTTCTCCTCGGCTTTGCTGTGAGCACACAACTCCCAAGAAACCCACTTGGAGGGCTGGAGTGATGGCTCAGCAGTTAAGAGCACACGTTGCCCTTTCAGAGGTCCTGAGTTTGGTTCCCAGCAACCACTCACAACTGCCTCTAACGCCAGCTTCAGGGGGATCTAATAGCCTCTTTTGGCATCTGAGTAAAACTGTACTCACATGCATATACCAACACAGAGACGTGGATAAACATACACATCATTTTTTTAAAAATACATCTTTTAAAAAAAGGTATTTGGAAAGCAAGATTCTTTCTCTGAGCCTTTATGGGTCCATTATAATTGTGCACAAATCTCCTCGTTGGAAAGAGTAGACTCAAAGCTCTCATCAGGAACAGAGGGAGACTGTACTGTTGGTTTATGTCAATATAACACAATCAGAGAGGAGGAACCTCAACTGAGAAAAATGCCTTCCTAAGACTGAGTTGGGGGCAGGCCTGTAGGACATCTTCTTAATTAGTGATTCATGGGGGAGGGAACACCCCTGGGCTGGTGGTTCTGGATTCTATAAGAAAACAGGCTAAGCAAGCCATGAGGTGCAAGCCAGTACGCAGCATGCCTCCAAGACCTCTACCTCTGCATCAGCTCCTGCCTCCAGGCTCCTGCTCTGTTGGAGTGCCTGCCTTGACTTCCCTCAGTGGACTGTGACTTGGGACATGTAAACTAAATAAACCCTTTTCCTCCCCAAGTTGCTTTGGTCATGGTGTTTCATCAATAGCAACCCTAACTAAGATGGAGATTCAAAAAGTTAGGCACCACTACCCCATGAATAATCTTGAAGGTAGTTAAAGCTCAAAGATGATGAATATGAGTAGACAGTCTTCAACTTCTGAATGTTCTTGAAAACAGGAATGTATTCACTCATTGCCTTTGTGCTGGGGTTGGGACACATGGTATAAATTATTCTTGAGTCCATTAAAAAATACTGCTTTACTTCGGGAGCCACTAACAGAATTACAAATGTGGTCTGTGTAGCATATTTTTTAATTATACCATAAAAATATTTGGCCAAAAGAAAGAGGCAGTTGGACAGTGTGGCTAATAGCTCTGCAGAGCTGAGACACTTAGGGGGCATTCCTTGTTGCTATTGTTCAATTAAATCATCAAAGAGAGTTTAAAGCAATGATTTGATAAACCCTGTATCACACTAACTCATCCTCCTTCTGGGTTTTGCTTGTTGATAAAGTATGATGCTTTTTATTCAAATGGAATCTTTCTGTCTCTGCAATAAATTATATTCTAGAGATGAGTCACAGAAAGGCTATTGGTTGCTATGAAATTACAGACAAAACTATACCAACAAGGTTATTATGCTGATGCACACTGGATTTAGGAAGCATAAGAGCAAGAAAAACACAATTTGGAAAACATTTGAAGTTGGGTGTGGTAGCACATGTCTATAATCCCGGCACTCTGGAAGTTTAGGCAGAAGGATCTTGAGTTGTGAGACTCTCTCTTGGCAGGAGATGGGGGGTGTGTGTGTGTGTGTGTGTGTGTGTGTGTGTGTGTGTGTGTGTCTGTGTGTCTGTGTCTGTGTGTCTGTTGGGTGTTAGGGGGAGAAAGACACTAAATTCATCTAGGCCAAAATTTAAAAACTATGAAGATGTATTAAGAAAATTTGAATACATATACACACTTATTGGTTTTCCAAGGGTATCTCAATATCTCAATGTCTAGACTTTGACTAACATTTTCAGCTTATCAGAATTGCTTAATTATAGGAATTAATTAGGGGAGCATTAAAATGTTGTATCTTGAACAAAATGTCTTCAGTCTTGAAGTAATGTACTAGATGACGTATTTATTCACAAGAGCACATATAATTAAGTTTTCAAGCTCTCCCAGTTAAGCTTAATTTGGGGGTTAAAGGTAATTAAGATAAAAAATTTAAAGTCCCCCTGTTGGCTTATGAATCATCTTTTAAGTGCGCATATGGCTCACAGCATACACTATACTAGCCAGCTGCTTACTCCACATGTGGCTACTATACAACACGTGTCGTTTTAACCCTGAAAGACAGCAACAGGGGTCACCTATTGATTTGTAGTGAATATTTAAACTACTGAATGAAAATAATAGCACACCAGATAGAAAAGCGGAAAACTCAGCTAAGCTCAGCACCGAGATTCTGTGAGTGTAACTGTCTCCTCAGGCAACTTAGTGTGTATATGAACGCTGAAAGGAAAGCTATGGGGAGGGCAGTAAAGCCTTTAAAGAGTCTAGATGGCGAGAATGTGGGAATGGAATTTGAGATAGGCAGAGTTTGAGATAGGAGAACAGACACAGGCAGCTCTCGGTCAAGTACATGCATTGCTGAATGAAAAATGGAACAAAACTTTCACTCAGCGATAGGACAGCACATGATCACGCCCCTCCACTGGCTCGCAGATGGAAGGGCAAAGGAAGACACGTGACAGCTGCATCAAGAAAATGCGGGGCCATTCTGTGTTTGTGAGATAACTCTTTTTTTTTTTTTTTGAGAGTTTTTAAGGCAGACATTTACAAGCAGATGTTTAGGTTTCCATTGCCGATCAGAGGGACAGAAAGGGAACAGATGTGGTACAGCTGGATGTGGTTGTGGAAATAATCTCTCAATGGGAGGCAAACTGAGATGCAGCACAGGGTGTGTAAACCTCTCTCCATATCATGAGGTGGCGTCAAACAGTCCTCATGCTTTTGCGATATGGAAAGAGGCAAGCGTGTTGACTTCCGCTCTTACACAGAAAGACAGTGAGGTCCACAGAAGTTGAATGACTTTTCTTAGACTATGGGGGAAAAATATTTAGAGCCAGTGATGGAAAAGGGGACTTCTAGTTATAGGTGTCGCTGCATAGAATTTTTAAAAGTCAAAAAGCCAAAATCAACAATCTAGACCAATTCTCAACCTTCCTAATGCTGTGACTCTTTAATACAGTTCCTCAAGTTGTGGTGACCCCCAATCATAAATTAGTTCGTTGCTACTCCATAACTGTAATTTTGCTACTGTGATGCATTGTAATATAAATATCTGATATGCAGGATATCTGATATATGACCGCCCAAAGGGGTCACAACCCACAGATTGAGAACCACTGATCTAGAGGAATGGTTACTACAAACAGCTTTAGAATACTGCCCCAGCTAGGTGTCTGCCTCATCCACTGTAAGAGCAGAAACTCTCCTGGCAAATAAAAGGCACCTTCAATCTCAGCTTTCTGCTTGTCACTGATAGCAGCCCAGGACTGGCAAGCCCAGGACTAAACAGCAACCAGGAGCCACACGTCATCATCTGCACGTTTGTTCTGACCCTGAAGCAGTGAGTTGGCGGCAAGATGTCACAAGTGTATGAGCCACTCGGCCACGACAGTTCAGCTCGGGGTTTCAAGGCAGCACACCGCTTAAGAAAATGATTTTACATGTCCTCTTAGTTATTACTTTTTATCTCATGCAGCATGCCATCTAGTGGAACTCGTTGTCAGAAAACAGACATATTGACCTAGTTTTACGGCTCTGGGAAGCTTTTGTAGTCTGAGGAGAAATGTGCTATGACATCCCAGGAGGTTTCTAATACATGAACTTCCTGTGGGGGTGGACAGAAACTTTCTGTTGGCGAAGTCAAGAAACTGGTGAAGAGTTACACAGATACCAAGACTAGGCAACAGGATTCCAAGGTCTCTCTGAGGTGAGGAGATGCTACCACTGGTTAAGGAAAGGGCCTATGGTCAGATTTTCCCTCCTGTTTGGAGAGGATGAGGAAGGAGTCTTTGTTTTTAGATGATGAAAACACTGTTTATATCATTTCCTTCCTTTGAGTCATGATTTTTAGGTCATAGATAGATTTATGAGTTATCCTAAGGAATCAGATAATGCAAACAGTCATTGGTGATATTAACAACCTCCAGTTCCAGATAGAATCTAGAAGCAAAGCTTATGAAGAACACAGATACATGAACAACAACAGAATAAAATCTATAAGCATGGTACAGACTTAGACAAAAATCATGAACAGAGTGCTAAATCATTAGCAGTAAGTAGAGTTCAAAAAAAAAAACAAATCAAGAAATGAATATAAAATCCAGCATCCCCATCTTTTGTGTGAACTGGCATAAACATAATTACAAACTAAAATACTAGTCTCTTTGAAATTATTTTTATTGCAAAGTTCCCAAAGAACTGTGATATCAAGGGCCAGGTAGTTTTCTTTTCTTGGTAGCTGAGTTCAGCTTTACAGAATAAAATAAGTGAAGGGGAAAGACAGCTTGTTAAAACATTCTTTAAATAGTATTGTAAGAAATAAATGCTGTTTGTTAGGCTGTAGTTTAACTTGTTTGCATTGGATACTTTTTAATATTTGTTTATTTGAGACAAGGAATATGGCGCCACGTCTACCTTCTTAAAATTCTTTCAACCTCTGCAATACATGAAACCGTTTTAATTGCGATTTCTCATTGCTTAGCAATGTTCCAAGAAATATCAAGCATTTTTTTGTAATAAAGGTTATAGAATTTTTTTTCAAGAGTACTGTTGTACCTAATTTTCAACTTGCTCGTTCTTCCAAGGTACAAAGTGGAGCTTGAATGAAAAGGTGGCTTCTTGTCTACTCATTTGAAATCAGAAATTGTTACTCACTTAGGACTAATTACTATTCCTATGATTCCTTGAGAGGCGC